CAGCAGTTATGAGCACCAGCTGCTCTTGCAGAGGACCTGGGTTCAATTCCCAGCACCTACATGGCAGCTAACAACTGTCCATAACTCCAGTTCCAGGGGAATCTGACACACTCCTCTGCCCTCTGTAGGCATTGCACTATATGAATACACTTAAATACATGCAGACAATACACTCAAACACATAAAATTTAAAAACATATAAATTTATTAAAAATTGTTGTTCATGAAAAAACTTGAAGCCCAGGGAGGACAAATAATTCAATCCAAGGCAGGCAGTTGGGATCTGAATTCAGACTTATTCCAACTCCAAGTCACCATGTTTCTGTTTGACTAGCCAGCCAACCACCACTGCTTGCTTAGGCATGATTGACCATTGATCCTAATATGGTTGTTCCAGAAGGGGCCCTTTAGGAGAGCTGAGAATCCACCCACCTATGTGTACAGTCAGAGAAGAGAGATCAAAAGTGGATGCTAGCACCTGCTGCTGTGAATAGCCCAGGACCACCATTTTTGCCTGCTGACTTTGATTGGTAGACATCTCAATCACATCTTCCAGGGCTGGGTGAAGTAATGGGATTCTTTTTGTTATATGGAGAGTCTTTCATTCTAGAAAAGTTTTGCCCAGAAATGTACACAGTCGGGACAGAAATGCAGGATTGGCCTGGGTGAGCCAGGAGACCAGCTTGCTTACTGCTCACTCTCTGTGAAGGCCCTAAGACAGGATGCAGGTGGAGCATGGTTTGTCACAGGCCGCAGGAGACACAGATCCACATTTTGAAGCCTGAGTTCTTTTCAGGTAAAGCTGGGGTCTTGGCTTCTGACACAGAAAAGACTTTTAGGAGAAGTCAGTATGAGTCTGAATTGGAGTTATTCTTTTTTAAGGCTTTAATATAGATGTATGCATGGCAGAGAGAGAGAGAGAGAGAGAGAGAGAGAGAGAGAAACTTAAAAGGGCAGTAGAACATACCAAGGAGCTGGTGCCGGCTCTTCAAAAGAAGTCACCCAGGCTTCTTTGGAGGCTGAGGCAGGAAGAGAGTAAAGAGAAAGCAGGAGGTGAAACACTTTCCTAACATATGCAAAGCCATAATTTCAATGCTGGGGTACCAGCAAGAAACAAGGGAAAGGGGTTGCATTGTGGGATCTGAGGTAACTCAACTCATTTTCTGGACAAACTTTTTGGTCTTTTTGAGACAGGGTCTCCCCGTAGCCCCAGCTGGTCTGGAATTCACTATGTAGACCAGGCTGGCCTTGAACTCACAGAGCCTGATTCTGCCTCCTGAGTGCTGGGATTAAAGGCATGCACCACTACATTTCTGGGGCAAACTTTATTGGAAGGGGGGGCTTATTCCTAAATTAAGGTGGGGAACTCCGTGAATGGGTCAGGATTTTCCTGGAATAGTGTTTACTCCCCTTTCTGCTTATCTGGGGTTTTGCTGTGTCATGGCATCAGATACATGACGGGAGCAGGCAATTTTGCAAGGCTAATGATATGGAGATGTCATTATAATGAAACAGAGGACAATTAATGGTCAACTCTGTTGGCCATGCTGGTTCCAGTCATTTCAGAGTGGTCTTGCTGTAATACATCTTCAGCTGCACAAGCCTCTCACTGCCATGCAGTGTCCTCCCACCCCTTGCCTATCTAGCCTACCTCAGTTTGAGAACTTCTAAGCTGTGACAAGGCATACTCTAAGAAGATGATTTCTTAGGCGACTGGCTAGATTGTGGTTACCACTAAAATGCAAAAGTAATTATTAGGTGACTCCCCTGTGTGGGAAAGACTGGCCTAGGTGAGCATCTCACACACTAGGGATGATCATGACGGTTGGAACCCTCCGTGACAGGGAAGGCCGGAGCTGGCTGTGGGGCCCTGATAAGGTTCCCCTTTCACCACTTCCTCACCCCCTTGCTTTCCAGGCACGACTGCTACCTGGGTTTTCCAGTGAACACAGTTCTTCCCCTTAAGGAGGACAGCTAAGGATCCCTGTGCCCTGTCCCTGTCCCCTCCCTCAGAAGGCCAGTGTGTTAGTTAGCTTCATGCCACATGACAAAATAGTAAGAAAAGCAACTTAAGGGAGAGAAGATTCATCTTGGTCCACTCCCTGGACCCTTGACTCTGTTTCTGGGGTTGCGGTGAGGTAGAACATCATGATGGTGAGTGTGTGGCAGAGGCTGATCACAAAGTGGCAGCCTGGGAGCTGAGAGAGGTCACAGGAAGCAAGGAGCAAGGAACAAGATGCATCCTCCAAAGGCACACCTTTAGTGATCTATTTCCTCCAACTGGGCACTATATCATAATATTTCCATCATCTCCCAATATTTCCATCAGATTATGAATCAGTCAATGGATTAATCCTATCATGAAGGCAGAGCCTTCACCTCCAGTATATAAGCCTATGGGGGACATTTCATATTCAAACCACAATATATGGTTTGATAAAAATGGGCCTTGTGTCCCACACATATGCCCACATACCTATGCATATATGCACACATACACTCACACCTACCCATACATGTGTGCATACCTTCTCTTGCATATACACATGCATACACAGATATGCATGCCTCCTCACACATGCACCCTTGCTTTGCGCATATGCACATACACACGTATGTGTATGTTTTTACACCTCTAGAAGTGGGGACAAAAGCCAAAAAACATCTCTCCATCTTCCAGAAGCCAGCAGTTCTGGAAAACTGAGAGTTGAGGGTTGAGCCGGAGAGCATTCCGGCAACTTTGGGGAACTAAAGAATTTTACCCATGGGAAATAAGTGAGGAGAAAGCCCATTTTCCTTACTACCCTTGGTTGCTTCAGAAAGTATCCAGAACTGGAAAGAGCTCTGAAATACCCAAGGCTCTTCTGGAAATAAGCTGCATTGCAAAGCAAAGACCACTGGGTACTGAGACATCATTTGGATTCTAGGACATCTATGCTTTCTGAGCATGCATGTACTTTGCTGGCTTCATATGACTCACCTGGGCACACAAATCTACTTATCCAGATGCCAGAATGTGTTCTTTCTTGCACCAGAAAAATAGAGTGTGTGGCAGACCCTCTGAGCTCTGTGGACAGATCAGCAAGATCTGAGTCCCCAAGGCTCATCTCCATAGGGAGATTGCAGCTTGAACAGCCCCACATGTGGCATGGGCTCAAGTGTCCTCAGGGAGAGCCCCTGCTTGACCTCTCTGCACTTCAGTTCCCAGCCTAGCCTGGGCAAACAATAGAAGCTCTAAATGGATTTGCTATCCAGCTGCGAAGTCCATTGATTCTGTACTGACCTGCAAACAAATTCACTTGTTATCATTAGTGAAAAGGGCAAGTTGCAGAGCAAAATGAATATATGTCTGTCTGTCTGTCTGTCTGTCTGAGATCTTCGCTGTGAGAGTGCATACCCCAGGGAAGGGAGCAAGGCGGCAGCTCCTTTGCCCTCTGCCTGCTTCTGTTGTTTCAAAGTGAGCACTGCCAACTGCCCTTGAGGAACTTGCAATTAATTGAGGGAGACTAATGGGTCAGCAGGTGAATTACAAAATAAACAGAAAAAGATTGTAGCCTCTTGACATGTCTACGATCTGTTTCTGGGTGGAGCCTTCCCATTCTTTGTTTTGCCCAATTATCATTCTTTCTTCTAGAAATCTGCTATTTTATATCTTTACCCCATCCCTGTCTTCTCCAATAACAACAAATATACATGGGTACATGGGTGCACACACAGATTCCTGCACAGAATATTGCTGTAGGCTGGTTAGAATTTATATTTGATTTTCCCTCTCTCCAGAGATGTTATCCTTCCCCATCCTCATTTTTATTTTTTATTTGGTTTTGGTTTCTGCTTGTTTGGTGTGTCTGGATTGTTTATTCACTGTGACAAATGTTAAACTGAGGTCAAACTTGGTGAACTACAGTGAGATACGGCTGGATAAGGGTTTTGAACTAGTGGAGATGCTGTCCCTCCTATAATGACTAAAAATAACCTATAATGATAAGATTATTTTGTCTTCCTTGACCCTTTCTAAGAAAGTCAACATTAGGGGTCAGAAAGACAAGGAAATGGACCTTTCTGAGGGGATGGGAATTCCAGGCAGCTCACAGTCCCTACGCCTCTTCCTAACCTTCCTAGCCCCTCCCAGCAGATCCATAGGTAGCTTATTACCATTCAGAACAAATCCAGATTTCTCAGCAGAGTGTGTTTTGGCCTTGACTCTTCCCCTGACTTCATTTCCAGTTCCAAAGATATCCCTCCTCTCTTTCTACAGTGCTAGGAATTGAACTTAGGGCCTCACACATGCCAAGCAAACACTCTACCACTGAGCTATATTCACAGCGCATTTTTTATCTATACAGATAAATGTGTGTGTGTGTGAGAGAGAGAGAGAGAGAGAGAGAGAGAGAGAGAGAGAGAGAGAGAGAATATGTATGGGGGTGTACATGTACAGGTCAGAGAACCTCAGTGTCTGTCCTCACCCTCCACATTGTTTGATGCAGAATCTCTTGAAGTTTTTTCACTTCTTACTCCAGGTCAGCTGGGCTACAAGCTTCTGGGGGAGTCTCCTATATGTCTGCCTCCCATTTCCCCAAGGAGAGCTGTGATTACACACACACACACACACACACACACACACACACACACACACACACTACTGTGTCTAGCTTTATGTGAATTCTGGGGATCTGAACTCATGTCCTCACACTTAAATGGCAAGCACTTTACCCACTGAGCCATCTCCCCAGCCTCATCTCATTTATTAGTAACCACTAAGGTGAGGTAACTCATTGCCCATCTAGCTGTATACCTTTTAGAATGCAAGCACCATGAAAGCAGGTCACTTGTCAACCTTGCTCATTGTGAGTTTCAGTCTCTACAATGGCACTAGGCACCTATTAGGTACATGATACATTTTTGTTAAGTGAATGACTAAATAATTCCTTGGTTCCTGGGGTCCTGTCTCTCTGAGTGCTGGGGAGGGCATGGATGACTGTGTGCTATTGTGATTGCAGACACAGTCCTTCAAGCTGAGTGAACCCTACAGCCAGTGCACAGAGGACGGTAGTGATGTGCCCATTGAAAACATTTACAACGCTGCCTACTCCCTCCAGGTATGACACAGTAAGAGCCTTTAGCTTTGGGTTGTGGCCTGGGTCCAGGAGATGAAGTTATACCTAGGCTGAGGTGTGGTTGGGACCGGGAACTAGGTGAAGATCCCTGGGGTTGGTCCAAAGACTTTAGGTACAAATGGTGCCAGCTGGTTCCAGTCCTCTTCGGTCCTCTGTAACCAAAGCTTAATTGATTCACTGAGGTTTGTATGGAACACAATGTACAGGCCAGATAGGCCCGCTTGCTAAATGGGCCTTGGCAAGGGAAGACAGAAGGAAGCAATCTACAGGAGACATTAGAACTAAGGGGGTCAAAGGTTGGACTTCTAGACCTACCTGTGCCCCATGATTTGGGCAAGTTGTATCTCTTTGACAGCCACAGAGCTGTGTTGGATCAGGGGCAGCTAACTGGCAGCTCCTGGGCACCTCCAGGTTGTACACTGATTCCTCTAGCCTGGATGACATTTGAAAATCAGAAAATGTCTCAAGGAGATCCAGATTTCCCTGGGAAAATGAAGTGAGTGGTCTAAGATCACTGAACCTGCATTCCTGCAAAACAAGCCATGCGAACAGCCACCCCGCAAACAATCAGTGAATTGTCTGGTCTCACAGCTCTGACACCCCCCACCCCACCAGAATGTGCTATTCATCACTGGCCCTGTAGGCATTCCAGTCTTCAGTCCTTAAATGCGATGAGTGATGAACTGCTGTGCTTCATTTTACATACTAGGAGTCTGCAGTTGGCCTCCTGCTAACTCAGGAGCCCAGTGAAATCATCTTTGCAGAATAAAAAGACCAGGTGGGAGCTGGAGAGATAGCTCAGCCAGAAAAAGACATGCCTCAAAAGCCTGAGGCCCTGAGTTCAGATTCCCAGAACCTTCATAAAAAGTCAGGTGTGCCTATAATTCCAGCAATAGTGGGGTGGGAGGTAGAGACAGGTGGGTCTCTGGAAGCCCATATGTCAGCTAGCATGGTCTACATGGTAAAGTTCCAGGCCAATGAGAGACCTGGTCTCATAAAAAAAAGATAAAAGTCACCTGAGGTTTGACACCCAAGGTTGTCCTCTGAACTTCCAAATACATGTTGTGCATGTACATTCACACATGTAAACACATATGCATACACCTTAATAAAAAGGACCAGATATACAGAAAGGCCAGCACAGGATCCTCCAACCTCCATCAGAACTGACTGAGCTGAGAGGTGGTGTAGACACAGAGCAAAAATGGAGTTAGCCAGAGAGTGTCTACCTATAAGAAGGAGAACCACAATGGAATGGATTTTGGGGTGGGCGGGGGGGTGGTGAACTCATTAGAAAGATGCCTTGGTAAAGTTTGATGGTAAGTTACCATGCACAAATATTTTAACATATCCTTGTATTTCACACTCACAACAATCTCATGGAGTATGCATTATTGTACTTAACTCAAAGATGAAGAAACAGATCAGAGATTTGAGTGATCTGCCTGAGGTCACTCAGAAGACAGATATCAAAACTGGGATCTGGGCCAGGTATGGTGGTGTACATCTGTAATCCCAGCACTCGGAAAACAAAGGCAGGAGGATAGCAAAATGGAGGGCCAGCCTGAGCTACATAGTAAATTCAAGGACAGCTTGTAACTGCATAGTGAAGACCCTGTCTCAAAAACCAACACTAAGATTGAACCTGAATAACCTGACTTTGAAGCCCTGCCCTTTTCTTTTATGCTAGAAGCTTCCTGGACATTGTGGTATTGATCCTGAGAGATCCCATGTGGAGGGCCTGGACCTGAGAACCGGACTGTTAGGGCTGTGCATCGCACTGTTGGTGGTTGCTCCATTTTCCCCATTCACCTTGATGCTAGCGCTCACCTGATGGAGAATGACCCCTTAAGCCCCAACTTAATCTGGTCTTCATGTCTCAGCCTCAGTTCTCAATACATTTTCTAGCTTGGTCCCTGTTGAATCAGAGACTACCCCTGGCCCAACTGGTATGAGGGATATGTGGATGTGGCCAGCCATGGCAGGGTAATGCTCTGGAATGAGGGATGTAGAAGCAGAGAGCTCTTGGCACCCACTTGCAAGAACATTAAGAGCATACCTGGGTCTTCTCTTTCAGATCTGCCTTTACTCATGTTTCCAGAAGAAGATGGTAGAGAAATGTGGCTGTGCCCAGTACAGCCAGCCACTACCGCCAGCAGCCAACTATTGCAACTACCAGCAGCACCCCAACTGGAGTGAGTGATCCCACCCCAGCCTTGTCCATTCAGGAGGGGAATCAGCTTGGCCCAGTGATGGCTCCCCTGAGATGCTCCTGAGCCCCTGGCCCCATTGTCTTTTGCCTGAAGAAGGTGTCAGAGGCTAGTTCTGTCATCAAACCTGGTTTAAATTATATTTCTCAATTATGGACTATGTGCTGTATCCCAGCCTGTGCTAACAGCTTGCCCATATAATCTACTCTAGAAGGTACTATTGATAGTATCTTTACAGAACAGAGAACCCAGGTCCAGAAAGTATAAGCAACTTACCTGAGGCCACATAACCAAGGAGTCCAAGAGCTGGACCCAAACCAAGGCTGCCTACCCCCCAACTCACCACCACTGGCACTGGTTCCTAACATCACAAGCCAACATTGGTCTCCAGAAAACAAGTGCCTCTAATGGGTAGAGAAATAAATGGCTAGCATGAGATGTTGGGGGCTCCTCAGATGACCCACCCCTAGGAAGGGTGCTGTGGCCCCCAAAGTTCACAGTGCCTTCTACCCTGTCCCCCAGTGTATTGCTACTATCAGCTGTACCAGGCCTTTGTTCAGGAAGAGTTGGGCTGCCAGTCAGTGTGTAAGGAAGCCTGCAGGTGAGTGGACCTGGAGGGCTCGGGTGGGTTGGCAGAGCTGTGCTAGGCCAGCCTCCATGTTCACTGTGTCCTCCTTTCTCCCATAAGCTTTAAGGAATGGACACTGACCACCAGCTTGGCACAGTGGCCATCTGAGGTTTCTGAGGTAAGTGCTACTTCTGCTTTTTCCCCTGGAGCCCCTCATGTCCTCAGCTTGGCTTGGGAGGCGAAGTGTGGAGGTGGTCCTTGGGTGAGTGGAGCTATTCTGCCCTACCAGAGAAAGGGTACAGAGGCTGAAGAGGGCAGATGGGTACCCCCAGGCCCATTCTTTCTTTCTCCATCACAGAAGTGGCTGCTCAATGTTCTCACCTGGGACCAACGCCAGCAAATAAACAAAAAGCTCAACAAGTAAGTTTACCTCTACCCAGTTCCCTCTGCCTCTGTCTGCCAAGACTCCAGCCCCTTTGCTGGCTTCCTCATTGCTAAGCCCTCTCCTTTTCGTTCATTCAATCATTTAGTCAACAAATATTTACTGAGCTCCTATCGTGAGCCAGGCCCCGCTCAAACTTTTGTTTGACTATGATCTACCATATGAAATATATTTTGCATTGTGGTCCATTGAGTCTATAATTGAAATAAAACATGCAACAGTATTTCCTGACAATGTACAAAGCACCTGGGCTCATTTTCAAATGACATTCGCTGTGGCCAAGCAAACTGTTTACAGTTGTCTCAGTTTTCTTTCGGTACCTTCTGGAGGGGGAGGGGGATTAGTTCCAGGACCTCCTCCCCCAGTGGATAACAAAGTCTCTGAATGCTTAAGTCCTATATATGTAAAATAGTTCAGTGTTTGCATATAACCTACCACATCCTCCCAAACATTTAAGTCATCTCTAGATTACTCATAATGTCCAATATGATGTAAATGCTATGAAAATAGTTGCCATACTGGATTGTTCAGGGAATCTGACAAGAAAAAAGTCTGTGCATGTTCAATCCAATTGTATTTTTCCCTCTGACAAATTTCCATCCAAGCTTGGTTGAACATGGTCCCAGAACCGACACACACAGCAGGAGGGCAGAACGTATTTCCATCCTATTGTTAATGACTCTCCCATCTCAATTGACAAACATTTTGGATATACCTTTGAATACATTCCGATAGTTCCTCATCTTTTTTCTTTTCTCTTTCCTTTTTGGGTTTTTGAAACAGGGTGTCAATGTGGCCCAGGTTAACCTCAAACTCACTATGTAGCCAGGAAAGACCTTGAACTTCTGATCCTCCTGTCTTCACCTCCCAAGTGCTGGTGTTGTAAGCATACACCACCATGCCCAGCTTTCCCTCTTCTATTTAATTTTGAGAAAGATACCAGTCAAAACCCAGTAAATTTACTTCATGGCTTACTGACTTGGAAAAATATTTCTCTGAGCATGGCATCTTCTAATTCTACTTGGATTTTCCACAAAGTATTCATTTCTGAGAGTCCTTTAGCAAAAAATGATTCAGGCCAGAGATCAGGGTGATGGAGACAGAGTTGGGAGAGGCTGAACTCACTTTTGCAACTCTGGCCATGTAAACTCACATTTCTCTGACCATCATCATGTCCCAGTGCCCAGCACAGAGCCTTCCCCAGTGAGAGTCAATCTGGCCTCCTCCAACACAGATTGTCCTATTAAAGATGAGTTGCCCTGTGAGTTGCTGTGGGGAGTGGGCCTGTGGGGTAGAGGATGGAACTCAGATAACTAAGCATGGCCTCTGCCCTGCTCCTAAGGGGTTTGCAGTGGTAAAGATAAAGATAAACTTAGCCAGATGTATGCTGGTACATGTCAGTGATCCTAACACTTGGGAGCAAAGGCAGGAGGCTTGAGGCCAGCCTAGGCTACGTCATCAGGCCCTGTCTCAAACAAACATGACAAACAAAGAAACAAAGAGTACAATAAGACCAAGTACTTGCAAAGCAGAGATTCAAGTGTTACAAACCAATGGCCCCTGGCCAAATCTGACCCCAGAAGAGCAGCCATTATTTCCTGAAAGACCCAACAAGGAACCTGGGTTCTTACATCTCATGGAATGGCTAAGAAACAGTGGAAACTCGAATGAACAAGAACCTTCCGACTCACCGTTGCCATATAAGGAGACAGTTTAGAATGGTAGCTAAGGGCGTGGCTTTGAAACCCAATGGGTCTAGGTTTGAATACTCGCTCATCCCACAATCAGCTATGCAGTCAGGCAAGTGAATGAACCAATCTGTGTCTCAGTTTTCCCATCTGTAATATGAGGGCATGATTAAAGTGTGGCTCCCTGCCTCAGAGAGACACTGTGAGAATACCATTTGTTCATGGGGAATTCTTCCAATAGTGCTAGGCAACACCGGAAGTGCCTAATAGATGCTAGATGCTATTATGCTTATTACCGCTATTACCTTAGTCCCGGCCTACTTTGCTCACTTACATCACCTGCCTGTCTCCTGTATGAGTTTGAGATTGCAATCAAACAATTACCAATGTCAAAATCTAATGGGAGTGTGGCTGGGTGGATTGGTTTAATTGAAAGGTTAAGAAACACTTTTTTTTTAAGTGAATGAATGGCCTGAGAACCAGGCCCAAGTTGAAAATGTACTCTGGAATGCAAAAAGAGCTTCAGGAACAATGTCCTAATACTCTAGGGGAGCTCAGAGTATGGGCCAAGATGGGGGCTTGGGCAGGAAGGAGACAACAGCTATGCTGAGGGCTGACCATCTGGCAAGAAGCCAAGTCTCCCCACCCACCTGAGGCTTATCTGTTGGCATTTCTGCAGGACTGACCTGGCCAAGCTTTTGATATTCTACAAAGACCTGAACCAGAGATCCATTATGGAGAGCCCAGCCAACAGTGTAAGTGATATGCTTGCCCAGATCAGTCCCAGCTTCACCAATGTGCCCGTCTACCTGGCTTAGGGAGTGCTGTCAGCTTCGGGGGGCTCCATCGTAGCATAGGAGGGTTGCAAGAGATCAGTTAGACCTTAAAGAATGAGAGGGGACAGGCCTGTAGCTCCCTTGGGATCAGGACCAAGCATGAGACCAACTGGGGGGATTCCTTTTTTGAGATAGGGTCTTACTAGGTAGTCCAGACTGCTCTTAAACTGGCAACCCTCCTGCCTCTGCCTCCTCAGTGCTAGGATTACAGGTATATGCCTCCACTCTCAACCTGGGAAGGTCCCTCTTGTTTTGGGCTCCTCTTGAGGGTGTGGCATGGTTTCTCTTGCAGATTGAGATGCTTCTATCCAACTTTGGTGGGCAGCTGGGCCTGTGGATGAGCTGTTCTGTTGTCTGCGTCATTGAGATCATCGAAGTCTTCTTCATTGACTTCTTCTCCATCATCACCCGCCGCCAGTGGCAGAAAGCCAAGGAGTGGTGGGCCCGAAGGCAGGCACCTCCCATCCCTGAGGCACACCCCAGCCAGCAGGGCCAGGACAATCCTGCCCTGGATGCGGACGATGACCTACCCACCTTCACCTCTGCTATTCACCTGCCTCCAGCTCAGGAGGCCCAGGTGCCTGGCACACCGCCCCCCAGATACAACACCTTGAGTTTAGAGAGTGCCTTTTCTACCCAGCTCACAGATACCCAGCTGCCCGATGAGTTGTGAGGCAGGGTTGGGAAACACAGTCTAGATGGCACCACAGCTATGGTCTGAGACAAAGGGACCCTCCTGCCTTTGCTCTGGGCTCTTGGCACATGACTAACAATCTGCTGTGAACAGGACAGGGCTGGGCACCTGCAGAAGGACATTCTAGGCCCGGCCCCCCTCACTCATACTCTCCAGGATGATCTTGCAGGCTGGACTTAACACGTCTGTGCTGGAGAGTCAACAGTAATGGCCCAGGCAGAGGACATCAGTGAGCTCTCCACAGGATCCTGAGGAGAAGGGAGCTTCCAAAGCCCCAAGCTCAGGAGGTTCACACACAAAATCCCTGGCCTGGATTGTGGCCCAAGCAGATGACCTTAGGTAGCAAGGCTGGACAGCCACTGCCTGATTGCCTAACAGGAGAAAGCACCAGCCTTGGATCCTGACTGGTCATGAATAAGCTGACTTCAGTCACTGACACTGGGGCAAGGTGGCTCTGTGCCCTCAGGCAGATAGCTGGCCCAGTGCCTGGGAGCATGTTTGGAGAGGGTGCAGTGGAGAGAGACTGAGGGGTGTGACAGGATGTCCCCCCTCAGGGAGTAGGGTAGGGCACAACTCTGGGCAGCGAAGGCAGCGCTCTGGGCCCTTCCCAAGTACAGAAGGGCCAGTTAAAATGCATAGCTGGACACTCCTGCCAAATGCTGTTCCCAGAATCCCATTTCCTCAGCTGCTCTTTCTACCTGCCAGTTCAGCAGCACCCCAAAACAGACCTCCCATGCTACCGGTGTCTCCCCTTCACCAGCAAGCCACTACCACAGACAGCCCACTTCCAACCATATACATACCTTTCAAGTCCAGTGTCAGCTCATGAGTGGTATGCTGGGGGCTGTGCAGAATACTTATGTAAATTACCCTAAGGGATAGCAAGCCTATAGGCCATATCCTTTATTATGCCTGTGCACTGAGAATGTGTGTATGTGTGTGTTTTATAATTTTTACATAGCTAATATATACATGTACATATATATAAGAGAATATTTTATGACTTATGAAAATAATATGAGTTCCAGATATTGTCTATAAATAAAGTTTTATTGGTACACAGTTATACCCATTCATTTGTACTTTGTTCATAGCTGCTATGCAACTGGATTAGCACGGTTCAGTGATTAAAACACTGGCTCTTTCCAGAAAATATTTGCAGATTCCCGGGTTAGGCCATTAATGAGTTGTAAAAACTGGGATAAGTTACTTGCTCAATGCGACACAGCCAGGAAGTTGCAGAGCTGGGATTTGAACCCAGACAGTCTGACTTTCCAGCCTGTGCACTTTCACACCCTTATCCTGCATCCAATGCCCAAGAACATTAAGAATGAGGCTGATATCGCCTGAGGTGGGAAGTGGAGGAAGCTCAGCACCCAGGAGCCAAGGTAGAACGTCCGGCACACACAGGTGAAAAAGGCATGTTTCAAGACTCATCCACACACAGGTATGAAGTCTAGTGGAGCCCAGAATCTTCATGAAACAGAGATTGTGGGACACTGCATGGTCCAGGTTCACAAGTTCAACCCAACCGCATGCCTATGCCTGAATCCCCACCTCTGCCCATGTGGTATTTCCACGGGTTCTCAGAGGGGCGAACTAGCAGGAAGGAGGTCAGGATGACTCTAGGCTGCATGACACTCCCTGGGGAGTGGGCTGATGCAGCCAAGCATCCAGTTACAGAGAGTGTGAGACTGGCTTCAGGCCAGGTTGGGCTGTGGTGGCTGCAGCCAGTGCTGACAGGGAACCTGCAGTAGATGCTCACCTAGAGGGGATCTTACTCCCCACTCCCCGCCCCCAGGAAGGAGGCAGGAAATGTGCCCTGAGATTCATGGTATTGGGCCACCCTGGCATGATGTCATGGGCAGGAACACTTCCAACAAGGCTGAAGTTGCTGCCAGGTACATCAAACGTGACACCGCCAGCATCTGGCTTAATTGTCCCCTAGGAGACGGGTGTGCACTCCTCCTGGCTCCAGCCTTCTTCACACCTGCTTGATTCCTGCAGTACCCAGCACTGTCTTTTCTCCACTCACCCTTCCAAGCCACGTGCAAGTATCGCCACCTCTGCAAATCCTTCCCTTGCCTCAAGAAGTTGGAGCATTTACTGTTCTAAACCTTTCACCCCTGGTTTAAGTTTTGATCTGCTTGTCGCTCCCATCAGATCATGAGCTTTATGAAGGCAGGAATAGTGTTTTATCTCTTTGTACCCAAACTGAGACGGGACTGAATACAGTGTTGGCATTTAGGAAAATTGTGTGAGGCATATATAAGAACAAGAGTAACTGGGCTGGTGAGATGGCTCATTGGGTAAAGGAGTTTGCTGCCAAGCCTAGGGGACTGAGTTCGATCCCCAGAAACCCCATCATGGAAGGAGAGAACCAACTCCCTCAAACTGTCCGCTGATCTCACGTGCACACTGTATATGCATATGCACACATGCAAAATAAATAAATGTAGCTGGGTGTGGTGGTACATGCCTTTGATCCCAGCATTTGGGAGGCAGAGGCAGGCAGATCTCTGTGAGATCAAGGCCAGCCTGGTCTATATAGTAAGCTCTAGGCTAGCTGAGGCTGCAAGGAGACCCTGTCTCAAAACAACAACAACAACAACAATCAATCAATCAATCCAGGTAAACAACTTAAAAGAACAACAAGGGCAGGGCTATCAGCTCTTACTATGTTCTAGGGATGTTGCTAAGCACCTCACACAGCAACTTCTGTAATGCTGGCACCTTGAACACTCTTGCAGATAAGAAACAGGCACAGAGAATTCTTTTCGAAGCCACGTAGCTAGTAACTAGTGGGGCCTGTATACTTAGCTCCTAGCCACCATGCAAACTGCATTTCATGTGGAAGTCTTTCCCAGAGGCCAATCTACCTGCCTCTGAGAAGTTGTCTCTGGTCCCCTTTGGCTTTAAGTCCAGGGACCTTCTTGTTCGAAAAGAGAGGGGAGGGTGGGAAGAGTAACTTTATTCCAAAACTCCTTTCTAAGGAGCTACCACTGAACCTTAGAGACAGTAACCTTTTGTACATCATGGGGATACTTTTGACACACTCCTGGCCTTTTCAAACTGGCTGAACTACTGACCTCTCTGCTCCTCTGACTTCCCCTTCTTGGTCCCTGAGTCCAAAATACATGTTTCACAGTCCATAGAGCATCGCCCAATGATTCAGAGACTCTCAATACGTCCCTGGGAACTTGCACCCCATGGGGTGATAGTAAATAAAGACTCTAAGTTTTCTAGGTTGGGAGTATAGCTTAATTGGTTGAATGCTTGCCCAACATGCAAGAAGCCCTGGGTTCCATCCCTAGTACCATATAAACCGATGTGTGGTGGCACACATCTGTAATCCTCAGCCTTATAGTGAATTTGAGGTCAGCCTTGGGCATATGAGTCCCTGTCTCTTTTGGAACTCAGGGTCTTCTGAGGTCCTGGCCAGACATGGGAAACACAAAGTGTGAGTCGAGTACGGGGCGGGGGGGGTTGCTATGGACAAAAAATGCTCAAATGAGCGAGCCAAGAGCCAAGAAGCAGCACAGCCTGAGAAACTTCCTGAACAAAAGGTAAAACAGCACAAGGCTTCCCTCCTCACTAATCTCCCCAGCTCCCCTCCCTCCCAGCCCTACTCCAGGCTACAACAGGAGGATGCCTCGAAAGACACCCATGGCACATGGCACTTAAATGTGGCTTAGATGTTTCACAATGAACTCACCCCACCAAGATAATGTTAAGTAGCAGGCAGTCTTCTCTGCCATGCCACATACCACCCTTTCTCTTTCTTCACGCTCCTCATTCAGCCATTCTTCGAGACCATGTGCAAATACTGCCAAAACTTATACAGTGTGCCCTTGACCTGGCAAGCTGGAATGTTATGTGTTATTGGCTGACAGAATAAACCATTCCACTTTTTGAAGTATAAAAACAAAACCCAGTTTGATGATCATGGTCTTTAGCACTCAATACTGTTAACTTCATTTTTCTTTTTTTTTTCTTTTTGTATGTACGTGTTTATATATGTGTATGTCTGTGTGTGTGTGGGTGTGTGTGGGTGTGTGCAGATGCATGTGTAGGAGGCCAGAGGCGGATGGTCCAGTGTCTTCCTCAATCGTTCCCCACCTTATTTTTTGAGGCAGGATCCCTCAATGAATCTGGAAAATGCAAACATGGTGCATATGTACAATGGAATTGTACTCAGCCATGAAGAAAAGTGAAATCATGAAATTTTCAGGAAAATGGATGGAATTGGAAAACATTACTCAAGTGAAGTAACCCAGGCCCCAAAAGACAAACACCACATGTTCTTCTCATACAGGGATCCAGTCTCAAAATAGTACATGTGTATATCCAGGTGGGAGTAAATATGGATAAAGGTCAGGGATCTAGAATAGGGTCCATGAAACTGGCAAACAGGGTTTAAGGAAGGGGTGGGGGAAACCAAGAGAACAAAATGGAAGGGGAGAGACTCAGCAGGGACACAGCAGGGAAGGGAGGCAGGGAGACAAGGGAATGGGACTCAGCCAGGTGGAAATATGTATGTTACTTTGTAATATACTGTTACTTTGTAAGCTCATTAAAAACAAAAAAGCAACTTGAGGAAGTAAGAATGCATTTGGGCTCTGTGATTCCAGCACTTGGGAAGCTGAATTCCCAAGTTCATAAATTCAAGTTCAGCCCGGGCTACATAACAAGACCACGTCCCCCAAAATATAACAAACAGAAACCATCAGTATGAGATAGTCAACAGTAAGTGACACGTGCTATGAGAAAAAAAGAACACATAAATCAGAGCAGGAGTCTCGGGGAGGGAAGGCAGACCTAGGTGCACTGTCCACAGCATCAGTTGACCAGGACAACCTGGTGAATGAATTATCTAAGAGAAACCATTTTAAAGGAGGAAAGATTGGTTTGCGCTCATGGTTTCTGAGACTCCAGTCCAAGGTTAACTGGATCCAGTGCTTTGGGCCTGAGGTGAGGCAGAGCATCATGAGAGCAGGAACAGGTGACAGGCTTCTCACCCTATGGCAGAAAGGAAGTAGAGGGAGCAAGGCTTGGGACAATAGATTTTTCAAAGGCCTACCCCCAAGTGAACTACTGTCTTCAAACTGGCCCCACCTCCTACATTTTCCACCATTTCTCCAGATAATATCACCAGCTGGGTACCAAGCTCCCAACACATGAGCCTATGGAAGACATCTTATGTTCAAAACATAACAGTGAAGTAATCATTCATACAGATCTATCCGGGATCAGAATGTCCCAGACAGAAGGAAATGCCAGTAGTGATGAAAACAGCTCCTTTCACAATGGAATATTATTCAACCATTAAAAAGAATGAAGTGGAAATGGTGATATGGCTCAGCAGGTAAAGATGCTTGTCACCAAGCCTTGATGACCTGAGTTCAATCCCTGAGACCCACATAGAGGAAGAAAGGAACCACTTCCTGAAAGTTGTCCTCTGACTCATTCACTCATGTGTTGAATGCCCTCCCCCACAAAACAAATAAATTAATCAATCAAGACACAAATGTAATTTAAAATGGAAGAATGAAATACTGACATATGGATGGACTTCAAAAATATCTCACCAGAAGCAGTGGTGCTCACCTTTAATCATAACACTCAGGAGGCAGAGGTAGGTGGATCTCTGTGAGATTGAAGCTAACCTACTCAAGTTCTAGGCTAGCTGGGGCTACTGGGAGACCCTGTCTCATATCATATATATATACATATATATATGGTATCATAATCATACCAGGTAAAAAGGCCAGCAGAGAAAATGGGTGTTTATTGTTTAATGAACCTAGGGTTCCCATTTGCAGATGGTAAGGATATTTTGGAACTACATAGAGACGGTGTTTGTATAGCACTATGAATGTACTAAATGCCACTGAACTTTAAAATGGTTAATTTTATAGGATATAAATTTACTCTAATAAAAAACCCTCAAAACAAATTTAAGGATGGGCATGATGACATATATCTATAATCTCAGCACTCGGGAGGCTGAGGCAGGAGGATTCCAAGTTGAAGACCAGCCTGGGCT